CTGATATCTGGCATGCTCATTTTCAACTTTAAAGCCCTGAAGTCATGTCACTGGCCTGCTGCAGACATCTTGTGCAATATGGTTGAAGATAAGAATTTTGCACGTATCAGGGAAGATAGAGAAACAGAAACTTCACAAGGGAATTCATGCTGGGATGCGATGAATTAATCTCTGGAGGTTGCTCTCTTCCTAAATAACAGCAGTGCCACATAAAACTGATCTTTTGTTACTCATTACTCATCTGTGACACAGGGAAAATATTAATTTGCATCACAGGCATGAGTTGATTAACATATTGCAAATTTCATTTTAGTCAGATGACATTAAACTTGTTGTGCTCCAGATTTTATAGAAAAACAGGTCTATACTTCTGTGGATACTAAAGTATCTTGTGGCATAACATTAAGAAGAAGGATTCTCCAAAGGGATAGTATCAGAAAAATGGCCTACCTTTCTTCCAACTCCGGAATATTCTCCATCACTGAGCAATTTTCAAAAGGCCAGATCTTTGAGGAAAGTGGGCAGAGGGGAAAAATAAAACTGCAAATATTTTTGTGAAATGAAACCTTTGTCCTGAAGAAATAAAAGGAGAGGAGAACAAATGCTAAGCATTCTCTAGGGAGCTGTTCTTCCTTCAAAGTAAGGTAAACTTCGTCTACTTCAAGTCAGAAGTCTCAATTTATTAAAGAATGTACAAAACTTACTGGTGGTGCTGGGTGAATATGCACAGCCTCTGTACAAACCCTGATTGCTCAGGAAATTTACAAAAAACACTGGAGCATCCATGGTAGACTGCATAACTTGTGACAAAATAATCACACCAGCAAATCAGAGCTTTACAGTGCATAAAATTCATAAATGTTCTCTTGCATCTAAGTGAACTGTTTTCTGAAGGTTCAATCTTTTGACAGCTCCCTGGAAAGTGTTGTGTAACTTTTGAAAGAGGTCTCTAATAGGTAACAAAATAGGCAAAAAGAGCGATTGATTTTTTTTTAATTCAGAAAGAGAGTGAGTGACTATGCAAATGTCTATACGTTAAGGGTGGGGGATGCTCTAATAATGACATGCTCACACACTTTTTCCATCAAACTAAAAAATTTTAACAAATATGTTGACCATTCATTAAGCATCTGGAAAAATAAGATTCTTCCAGGATAAAAAAAAAAAAAATATTTACAAATTCAATTCTTAGGAACAGCTATGTTGCAAAGTTCTTTCATCTTTCCCCTAATTCTACAACAGAAAGTGATTTTAGTCTCACACTGCCCTTGCAAATTTTTAATGGGGCATCCAAGATCAGATAATTCTGATCAGGCAAAAAGTGTAAATTTGAGTTATTACATACAAGTGAAAAAAGCAATAACATTATGTATGATAACATCCTAAAAATCAAACTGACGAGAACACAGTCAACAATGTAACATCTGAACTGCAACACCAAAGCACCTCCAAATTAAAGAAGTATTTGGCTGCTCAGGTTTTAATAGAAACATTTTTTTGGACAGAATAAATTATAAACAACCCTTTTTCATTAAAAAAGCTTTCACAAGTACAATCCCAAACCAAAGAAACAAAAAGGCACCTTCGCTGGATTTGTTTTCTAAAACTGCAGGAAATTATTACAATTTAATGCACTGTCTTTGTACAGCAAAGAAATTCTACTGCAGTTCTTGTTCAGTCTTGCTTACATGTGTACAGATGCTGCACCGTTTTGCTGTCTTTCCTCTTAAGCCTCTACTGTCTCTGAATAGTAATTTTTCAATATATAAAAAAATCAAAAAGCAGCCAAGAATCTATTGTAACTTAAGAATCCGGTCAGTAGGTAAAAAGGTATGATATTCTGTCTTGTCTTTTTTTTTTTTTTTTTTTGATAAGATAAAAATCTTAACCACCAACAGAATTCAGAAGGTGAACTAAGCAACTCTGAGGTTGTACTAGACTGCATATTTGGTATAGCCCTGTGGCTGTCTCCTGACCTATATTTCCCTGAGGGTTTTAAGTTCTACATTATGAGGGTGTATAGTCAATGGCTTGAGTTTTAACATTGTGGATTGTTACTGAGTAAAGGCAAAAGTTCAGACTCAAGAGATAAAAATGTAACTGGTCATATGATCAATTATCTGGACTGATGCTTTAATATCCATTTCCACTGCTGAAACCATAGAATATTATTGACCTGAATCATACACATCCTGAGATTGTATATTGCTGCAGTCCATACGTAGGTACGCAGGGACAAACTACAAAATCTTACAAGTCCTCTAGATTTCACTCAAAGTGCATAGATACAAGAGTGAATATTTAAAGATCCAATTCACTGCTTCGGAGTCTTTTGATCTTGTAGCTCTACTGATGATAATGTAGCAGGGGAACATTTATACAATAGTGCATTTGGGCTCAAAGAGCAAAATTCTGTTGTTCAGAGTTATGAGAAAGTCTACTGAGACTTTTGTGAAATGAAACCCTCACCCTTAAGAAATAAAAGGAAACGATGACTGGATCCAAAGATGACTGCAAGAGAAATACATCTTTGCAGTGACAGATACAGCTACCACTGACTGCCACTTTCAATGTGACATCAGGATTTGTTTTTTTATAATTTTGCAGAACACTATTGAAAACTCTTTTAAGGCAATTGCTGTTATTTTTTCTTTAACTAACATAACATAACAAACAAACCCTTCAAGAATGCCAGCCCTTGTAGATTTATTAAATCCAGAGGTAAAAATAGCAGCTACCTTGTGTTAAGAGCATTCTGTTTCTTTTTAACAGCTGGTGCTCAAAACCATGAATTTTCAAAAATGCAAACTTGTCACAAACAGAAGAAAAAGCTCTTCTGCCCATCATCTCTCAGCTCTTTTGCAGAAAAGAAAATAACAGAAATTTCAGGAATACATGACAAATATGAAAGCTGTAAATGCTAGGTAACTGGATATTGTGAATGCACTTTGAAGTGTTTCACTTCTGTTTTACATATAGAGTGTATCGCAAGGATAAGGTCCCAATAAAGGGCAGTGTTTAAACAGTACAATCAAAGGGTCTTGAGCAGAGCAAAATAGTGATAATTTGTTTTTAAGATAAATTTCTTGATATGATTTGAGTTAAATGGTTGTGTTATATGGACAAACGAGAAATTGCATGTCTGGAGTCTCTGTACATGTAAAAGTTTTATGTGAGATGCTACAGGAAATGCGTATTCACTTTTTGTATCACCTTAGGTGAAATAAAAACATAACGCACAACCGGTTTTTACCTTAAAGGACAACTTTCCCAGTTCCTTCCCTTACTTCCCTCTGACAAATCCGAATTAGGATAGTCCAAACACTGCCTTCTGCTGTTGGTTGTAAAGTCACTGCTCACTGCTCTTGCAGAGGTGACAAGAAAGCAGCAAATACTTAGTGCTGCATCCTTACATACAAAAAATATGATACTGTTGCATTATAGATTTATGTAAAGTTCTCAACTTCTTATAAATCTGTGTAGGTAAATAATTTAAGTTGACAGGCAGTCCTTAACACAGCATTTTCCATTGGTAATCAACACATACAACTCAGAACCCAATTAAAATACGTTCAAAATGAAAAGATATCTACATTGTGAACCCGAGTTTTAATATTTTAATATTCAAAGGCATGTCTTGATGCAAGCATCTTGTATGAACATGGTCTCCCACATGAGAACACAATCCATTACTCAGTGAGTTTATTTGAATCTTATGCTCAAATACAAAAACACGTAACAGTACACTTCCTTTATTTCCAGAACAACCCTCTAGCTTTTGCTACAATGTTCCATCACAAACTGAGTGGAATTGACACACTAATCTGGGACTGATCACTTAAGGAATATTTTTAATATACTAATTATTCCATCAAATATTTTTAGGCTTTTTTGTAAGTATTGATAGATTGAATTGATCTCTTCTGGAACAAGAATATGAAGGTCATGAATATAGTACAAACAAATAGCATGATATTTTTCTGCTATATATGTAGTTAAATATTGGAGCAAATTCAATAGGTAGATTATGCAGTCTCCTTCCTTGAAAGGTTTTACAAACAGATAAAAAATATCTGTAACACAGTGTAAACATCACTGTATGTGTCTTATGCACCAGTGACAGAGTTAATGCTTCTCAGCCATTACAGTTGAGTAGTGACCTGTAGTATCTCAGAAAGTATTCCACGGCATTACTGCAAAAAACCCCACCCCTGTAAAATAAAGCCAACCCCTCACACTTCCACACATGCATATAAACAATACCACACAATGCACACATACACAAAAGTTCAAGAGGAAGCTACAGAAAAGCATTTAAAGTTTACTCTCATTTTCATCAGATTACAAAATGGAAACCATAAGGCAATTCTCAACACATGGTAAGATTGATTTTGGTTCTTTTTTTTTCGAAAAGGCTGGACAGATATTTTATTCAAGAATGTTCAGAAACATTTGGCTGGGTTATTCTGAAGGCCCTTTTCCTTCTGGGCCTCTCTGCTATGAATTTCTGATTGTACTTTTTAGGAATACTTTGTTAAGAAGGGCATGAAGTTACAGACTATCACCCAGGAAGCTCTGTAGGACTTGCTTTTGGTATCATATCTGTAAGAGTAAGCATGAATTTAACTTTTTATGCCCCTTAATTTCTCATTTTTCCTTTAAGCAATAACCAACAGTAACCTTGACAGCACCCACTCAGTGCTATTCACCTAGAAATAGACAAAATTGCAAACATCTTTTTCATTAATTCACTTTTAGAAAATGTTCCTGAATGTATGAAATATAAATACAAAAATAAAATGGAATATAAATATAAAATGCAATGTCTGATTATTCATGGTTTGGAATATTTTCTATACACCATGTCCTTGATATCAGCCTGTTCAGTGATGACAGATTACAGTTTTTACCCCATCAAGAAACATATGGAAATCTTTCTGTTCAATGAGACATCCCAGAAAAGACAGAGACCCATGTCTTTGAGATTGTGTTTGATTTACCTTCATTGTCCGTCAGAGTAAAGTTGGGATTCAAAGAAAGCCCTTCGTCAAGGGAAAAATGGAATCTTGCCCCATTTGCAGTATTATCTTTGTCAGTTGCAGTGATAGTCTGAATTACCTGAAAAAAACCAAAAAACCTGTGAATATGTTGAAATGTGAACTTGACCCAAATATTACCTGACCTCAGCAGGATGTTCAAACTTAGCTTATTTTAATTTTCTACTTCACTGCTGCTAAATTCAACTGAGGAAATGACTGGGCCATTAGCTTGATTTCTCTAGCATGAAATGTTTTAGGAGACACACTTCAGAGCTAGATAAGAGCATCTAAAGCATCTATGCTTTCTGACATTCTCATATGGTCAGAGAAGACAGATTTTCACCATCTGCATGGCATCCCGGTGATGTTCAGAATTACAGTCTCACCTAAATATCTGTTCTCATGGAACCAAAAGTAAGGCTAGATCAGGATGGTCTATGTGGAGAATCATCTGCTTGCCATCCCAATAATTTGATGTACTTCAAATGTACTTTGATGTATTGGTTAGGAAAAATAATTGGTTAACCAAAATGGCAGGTAAATATTAGCTGTTTAATATTCCTGTTGTGAATCACTTAAATTGCCAGAGAACAGAAGAGGAAGAACGGGAACCGCTCCTGGTTTTGCCTGGAAGGAACAGAATTAGATGTAGCAACCACGTATGAGAGAGGTATTTTTGAAAGCTAGGACCTTTGCCTTCGAAAGCCCTGGCGGTTTTTAAAATTTGCTTTCAACTAAAATGTGTGACCAAGCAATATTTTTACCTCTGCTTTCATTTTCATGCTGGGCCTGGAAGCTCAAGTGCTAAAGTAGGATTTAATAAAAGTTTTCTTGTGATATAGGCAGTAAAGCCCATGTAGAGCTGCACAGAGCTGATAGATATCCTGAGGGAAACGTAAAAGGGGGAGGGAAAGTGCTCTTTTCATGAGAGTTTTTCTTTTCAGTGTTCAGATGCAGTCTGTCTGGAGTGAACCTGAAGCCTAAATAGTGCTGGCACAAGTGGTTTGGTCAGTTTTAGAAGATGGCACACAGTTCTCCAGCTCCATTCACATAAGAGAAGCAAAACAAATACATTTTAAAGCCAACAGAATACAACGTTTATTGCATTGACTATATACAATATAGTACATTATTCTGATTATACACACCTGAAGTAATTACCAATACTGATGAAAATTACTGAGAATATTTTAGAAGTCAGTTGTAATACTTTTTTTTGCCGAATTGTAGATCAATCTGAAACATTTATAATTATGCAGTTTACCAAAGGAAACATTGACGGAAAAGTTTGGTAAAAGCTAATTGTTCCCTATTGAACTTTGCAAAAGTGGCATATTTGGTATTGAAACAATTACCCTGTAAAAACAGAAATACAAGATTATCTTAGATGTATTTAGTTAATAACTTTGAAATGGTACTAGGCAAAGCAAGGGGAAAAAAAGGTTGATGCAAAAATATTTTCAAAAGAATCAGTTTTTTGCATTACTCAAATACTAAGAATACTCTTAAATACCATACATAGCTGTAAAAAATCAGATAAAACTTTAAAAAATATATTAATTTATTAAATATTGTTTATAAATCCTCTATTCTGTTTATCAGTGAGATAGAAGTCATTTGCCATGCACATTCAGCTTTCATTTGACAGCCTAGTAAATAAACTTGCATCCTGTTGCCTTCTCTTACATAAAGCGTTCAGTGACAGTTTACAGAATCTTGTTTCAAGAACATGCCATTTTGCAACAAAAATGCCTTTGATGAAGACTTCAGTGCCACAAGACAGGTGCAAAATTTATTTGGTTTTAAGACTAATTTTAAACCTCAACAATACATACCGTCTACATTCCCTGATTTCACCCATGGAAACTCAAGTATCCCTTGAATTCACCCATGTATGCAAAGAAGTATAGCACCAGATGGTATAGAAATTATGCTGTTCCATGTGGAAAATAGACATTCTATGTGTAATAGGACAGATCAAAATATTTTTGACAGAAATCTTTTTAAAAAAAAAAGTTTATACTCCTTCAGAAAAGGCTCTTGCTTTCTAAGGAAAAGATTTTCAAGACATTGATTCAGAGGTGAGGAACAAAAGTGTGTGTTCTCTTGACACCTAAATGTACTGTTAACTCTCTTCTAATTAATAGGCCAAGTAGCTAATGGCCTATTAGCAGACATTAACATGCACCTTACCAAAGCTGACTAAAATAAAAATGTAGACACAGAACCTCAGCTGCTGCAAAGCTCACTTGGCAGCACTGAAGCGATGAAACTGAAGGGTTATGCTATTTTTTTTAAAGGTAAGAGTTGATGACAAACGAAAGAATTTCAGCAATGGAGGAGAAATAATTGAAGAAGATAGAGAGCAGGTGCTAAATTCTACTCATATCCTTCACAGAACTGAATCAATAAGCAAGTAAATATACACACGACAAGCTTATAGAAGAGGCATTCCTTGTCAGCTAACATTGATTTTCTTTGGCTATTAGAAATAACAGCATCCAGGGTGAGGTAGTTCAGGTTGGCAGCACCATATTTATACACCTTACTTCTGAAAATGTGTGTGTGTGTGTGCATGTGCATTTACAGACACCTGTGTGTTAATTTACAGTGACGGACAGTGTCAGGGAAATTACCTTTCACTTTTATTGCAACTTTTTCTATTATTTCTTTGAAAAGAATGCAGAAAAAGTGTTATCTTTGGAGATCTGTAGTGAATATTTTAGATTTAGTCAGATATTTTAACAGGTTCATCCTCTGCCAGTACTAACACTGAACATGGAAACTTCAGAAAACTGTCAGGACTTCAGTCCTTCTTTTTCCAGAACAAAGCACGGAAAATTTCATTTGTAAGTTCACTTTGTGGAAGACTGCAAATTTTGATTTTCCTACATTGTCTAAATTTAACAATCATTCACAAAATCAGTATATTTCCAGAAGACAGAGTTCTCAAAGTCTATATACCATCTAAGATCAAATCACAGCTGTTTTATCGACTTTAATATACAATATCTACCAGGCTTCACTTGGAAGCTGTTGGAGATACTTAGATTATCTTCTGAACAAGGTGACTGCAAGGGAGTAAAGCAGTGTGGAAATGTTTATCTTCTCACAACCATTTTCTGTTTGTGATGGTGTTCATTTAAATCCTTTAAGTTTTATTTGCATTTGGTTTTGGGGTTTTTTTGTTTGTGTGCTTATTTTTGGTTTTGTTGAGGTTTTTTTTTAAGGTAAATAAATTTGTATGTGGAGGGAAAAAGAAGAAGGGACAGGGGCTGTACAATTAAATGACACTGCGATTTCTCTCCGTAGAAGCCTCTTCTGAAAATAAACAAGCAAACATAAAAAGTCTTCCAATGAAAAACTATTGGTTATTTTATCTTGCTCATAATAAATTCTAAATCGATGTGCTACTGAAAGAAATAGGGACTCTTCTTGGCAGTGCAGGGCTGGAGCACAACCTCAAAGCACTAGTTAAGCAGAAGTGCCTGGCAGTACCTGACAGAATTTGTTCTTCATTGATAAATCTTATTAATCATTCTCACAAGATGATGGATAACTCAGAGTTAATTCTGCCTTTTCAATGATTCAAAACCATCCAACTAGGCATGCTTTTTAGCATATGGAACACTTGCCTTGCTCTGTAATCCTTGTTTATTTGTCTCTCCTTAATATTTGTTGAACACTGTCATTTTCTTTCTCAGACCAGACAGTAAGATCTATGTACTTTGGTGTTTTTGTATACTTTGGGTTTTGTACATTGCAATGGTATCACATGTTTTTCTGAAGCCTTATTGTGCAATGAAAATAAAACCTAGCGCACGTAATGCACCTGGTTGTTTAAGAATACAACATCATGCTGATTCTACTACTGCTTGTAGATCCTTCATGGTAGCATTAATATTGGGTATTAAACTGCAATGCTACAGAGGTCAGGAGTCATTCATGCTTATAAGTAGTTCAGAGAGAAATACAGTCCTGACCCAAATCAGAGTAAATGTTGTTATAATAAAACTTATTTTATCCTTTTACAATCTCTCATAAATTTCCATTTGCAAAGTTACTACTGGAGAGTTAAAACTTTCTTAATAAGAAACATTAGCTTCCCCCCCACCAGTAAACAGCATTTCTCAGCTAGCTTAATTGTATTCTTCAGCTTATAAGTAGTTATAACAACTATTAAAAAATATTGTTAAATTATATTTTTAAAAATATGAAGACTTTGAAAGTTATTTCAATTCATGCTTAAGAGATTTTACCTTCTATTATTAAAAAAATAGTCTTTCACATGTTCTAAATCTTCTATATTTGGCTTTATTTGAGGTTTTCAGAACATTATTTTTACACTAATAAGCATGCTAATATGAGATACTCGGTTGATAGACAGACCTAATTAGATTTTCAAAGACTTTGAGTGAGGTGTCTCAATAAGAGCACTGAAGAAAATTATGCGGTCATGAGATAAAAAGGAAGGTCCATGCACAAATAACTGCTTAAAAAGCAGGAAATAGGGTCTCTTCTGTAAATTGTCTATTCCAACAGGAAAGGAAGTCACAAGGATTTCCTGTTCTGCACAGATTTATGCTGGGCCACTTGTTGGTCAGTGTAATAATAAGTGTCTTGTAAGGAGTATGAAGAATCAGCTAACCAAATATATTTATGATACTGAGCTGTTGAAGGAAGAAAAGAAGAAGGGCTGACACTAAAGACCTTCCAATACTCAGCAGCCAGGCAATACAAAGACAGGTGAAATTCTTTATACATAAAGTCTTAGTTTCAGATACCTTCAGCAGGCGGGTTTTTACGTTGAGTGCTTACTAGTGGTTAAAAAGCAAAGCCACTGTTAGAAATTGCTAGGAAAGGAATTGAGAACAAATCAGAGATCATCATATACTATGAAGCAGAAACTATGATAGGAATTGTAAACCACTGCATACCTGCATCTTGAATCTTCATTCTCCATCTCAAGGTCAATAGAGAGGATTTGGAGAAAGATTAGAAGAGGACAAGATGAATGATCAAAAGTCTAGAAGGGCTTTATCTGGGCCTGTCCAGGTTAAGTAGGACTCTTCAGTCTGGACAAGAGACAGCTGAGGGGCAATGTGCTAGAGATTTATGAATGGCACAGAGGTAATAAATAGGGATCAACTGCTCTTTCTCTCTCTTTCTCTTCAAACACAAGAACCGGTAAATATTGATTAAAGACAGCATTGGTAGATTAAAAAAAAAGAAAAAGGTGGCGTGTCTTCCTGAAACATGCAATTAAACTGTAAAATTCCTTGCTGCGTGAGGTAGCAGATATCAAAAGTTTATGGTTTTTTGTAGCAAAAGCTAAACCAATTCATATGAGATGGTTATTAACGGATTACTAAAACCACAGAAACAACACTTGGATCAGGGAATGATCTACAAATGATCTGAGACTAGAGAAGTATTAGGGCTAAGTATCATACATGCTTGACATGTTCTTATAGTGCTCTTTAGATATCAGCTTGCAGCCACTGTCAAAGTCAAGATAATGTGGTCAGCCTATAGTCTGACAAAGTACAGCATTTTCATAGTCTTAATGTTAAAATAGAAATATGTCACTATGTACAGCATTTATGTACACTGCTTTTTAAGATTTGATGAGAAATCTTTTACTATTAGTAATATATTCCTCAGGAGAGTTAGGAGCTCTTGCAACCTTTGTAATAATGCAAAACCAGGTAAAAGTTCAATCTATGCAAAAAAAGCAAAGGCACTCGGTAAAACTGTCAAACCATGGATTGTAATGAAATGCATCAATCACAGGAGTAGTGGCTGGAATGTGATTTTGTTACTCAGCCTCAGTTATGACCTTCCCCATGCTCAATGTTGTCAAAACCCTGCTCAACATCTTTTCCAGAAAGAGTCTGTACAGGTAAGGGCAATCAGCATGCAGAAAGTGAGGATGGCAGCCATGTTAACCAGCCATTTCACTGAGCTGTATTTGAAACGTTGCTACCATGTGGCACTTAGAGAAAACACCGTAAATCTGCTTCATTTTTCTCAGGATAGTGACTTGTCAAATTCCATCACTAATCTCACATGATTAAAGTTTTGTTTGTCTTTACCAAAGACAGTTTGGGTATCTTCTTTTTTTCAGCAACAAGAAAGATATGTTGTACAAATTACCACATCTTCTCCCTTCAGCCTAATAAAGTTTAAAAGTTTAATCAACTGTGAAATGTGAAAATGAAACCAGAAAAAATTATGACGTGTTCCCTTAGTCAAACTTCTTACATATGTGGCATTAACGAATAAAGTACTTGTGTCTCACTGGGAGAAAGATAACTGTGAGAGTTACCTGACCAGGCTTTGCATTTTCACAGACAACTATGTCATACTCTCTGGCGAGCTCTGGAGGGTTGTCATTGACGTCCAGTATTCTAACACCAACTGGAATGTGGCTCACTAGACCAGGATTGTCTGCAAAACATACAAAGGGGTATTAAGCCTTTGGAAATATTCAATATTACATGCCAGCCTCGATTTAAACATGGTTTCTTAACACAATAACTGGGTAAGAACTAGATACAGCTGCAGAAATTTAGGCAGCAAGTTAGTAAAAGATGTTTGCTGTGCTTCATTAATTGTTTTGAAAAGTAATTTAAAAAAATAACGGAAAGTATAATATGATTCTTAAGTCACTGTTATATCAGTAAAACACAAGTTGCTTTGGAACTGAAATGGGAGAAAGCTTATGGAGTTGTCGCATGCTGTCACACTAGCTGAGAAATGATCAATTGCTTTGTAATGAATGTCATCATAGTATTGAATAAAATCTAATATGAAAAATATTAAAAAACTTTTATCAGTCCCTGAAAATGTTTAGGAAATAAAATACCAAAATAGTAAGAAAATATGAATGCACAGACACATATAAACCTGTCCCAAGATGGAGTTCAGCTTCCTCAAGAGTTATTATGCTATTACACAAAGTAGTCAATGAATCTTGCTTTATCAGTGACATCCTGGGTAACAGGGGAGGTTAGCAAACATGACACCCATCTACAAGAAGGGCCGGAAATAGGATCTGGGGAACTACAAGCCTGTCAATCTGACCTCCGTGCATGTTATGGAGCAGATGATCTTGAGTGCCATCATGCAGCACACAGAGAAAAAAAAAAGGCGATCAGGCCCAGTCAGCATGGGTTTATGAAAGGCAGGTCCTGCTTGACTAACCCAGTCTCCTTCTGTGACAAGCTGACCCAATTAGTGGATGAGGAAAAGGCTGTGGATGTTCTCTACCTGGACTTTAAGTAAAGCCTTTGACACCATTTCCCACAGTGTTTTCCTGGAGAAACTGGCTGCTCATAGCTTGGATGGGTGTATTCCTTTGTGCTGGGGAAAAAGCTGGCTGGCTGGCTCGCTCCAAAGGGTTGTAGTGAATTAAGTTAAAGCCAGTTGGTGGCTGGTCAGAAGTAGTGTTCCCCAGAGCTAAGTACTAGGGACAGTTCTGTTTAATATCTTTAGCAATGACCTGGATGAGGGAATTGAGTGCACCCTCAGTAAGTTTGCAGACAATAGCAAGTTAGGCTGGACTGTTGATTTGCTAGAGGTTAGGAAGGCACTTCAGAGGGATCTGGACAGGCTGGATAGATGGAAAAAAGGCCAACTGTGTGAGGCTCAACAAGGACAAGTTATGGGTCTTGCACTTGGGCCACAACAACCCCATGCAATGCTACAGGATTGAGGAGGAGGGGCTGGAAAGCTGCCCAGCAGAAAGGGACCTGAGGGGTTGGTCAACAGCCAGCCGAATATGAGCCAGCAGTGTGCCCAGGTAGTCAAGAAGGCCAATGGCATGCTGGCCTGTATCAGGAACAGTGTGGTCAGCAGGACTTGAATACAGTGTTCAGTTTTGGGTCCCTCACTTCAAGACAAACATGCTGGAGCACGTCCAGAGAAGGGCAACAGAGCTGGTGAAGGGTGTAGAGGACAAGTGCTATGAGGATCGGCTGAGGGAATTGGGGTTCTTTAGCCTGGAGAGAAGGAGGCTGAGGGGAGACCATATAGCACTCTACAACTAGCTGAAAGGAAGGCTCAGAGATGTCAGTGTTGGTCACTTCCCCCAAGTGACATGTGATAGAAAAACAGGAAAAATCCTCATGATGCGCCAGGGGAGGTTAAGGTTGGATATCAGGAAAAATTATCAGGCAATGGAATGGGCTGCACAGGGAGGTGGTTGAGTCACCATCCCTGGAGTTATTTAAGAGATGTGTGGACAAGGTGCTTAGGGACATCGTTTAATGGTGGCATAAACAGTGTTAGGCTAATGGTTGAAGTAGAGGGTCTTAAAGGTCTTTTACAACCTAAAAGATTCTATGATTCTACACCAGTAAAAAAACAATGTTTAAATAACGGTGTCTTAGGCTATGATCTGTACATGAGTGAGGGCTCACCCTGAAAAAGAGCTCACCCTGAAGAAGCAAAATAAATATAATCCTTTCAATGAGAATACACTTGCAATCATAAAATGGGGAAAAAAAAAAACCAGTTCTCCTTAATCCATAATTTCCTTGTTCTTACTAGTAATTACTAAGAAAATATTATTTTTTTGAAATAATGTATATTAAATCTTTTTATAATTAGCTAAAATACACCTTCTGAAGTCTGTATAAGCATCAATTCTTTAGACAACAAACTTCATTTTACTTTCATTTTACCAACTAAATGAAACTGTCAGTAGAAGACAGCAAAATCAATCTCTCAAACACAACAGTATTGAAGAATGGGGTCTTATAGATTGACATTTTGAAAGTGCATATCCCTGTGTATGCTTATGAGAAGAAGAAAAAAAACCCAAATCATAACAAACCAGAAACATTAGTAGCCTAAACCTCATTTCCCTTGGTTATTTTGATCTTAATTAATTCCTATTCTGTTTCTCTTAAAAAGGATCAATTGTAAAATGCCTTAAATTTTTCACATATTTAATAGCCTCTGCTCAAAATTTCAGAAAACACTGATTAGACACATATTTGGATTTAAAGCCACCAGTAATGTAGCTTCCCAGTGAAAGAACATTTAAGAATGTTGAAGTTTCTTTTGACAGACTGAGAGATTTATTCTTCTGTGTTTTCACCTAGGATACTAGTCAAAGAGCCTGGGATTTTAAAAAGTCTCTTCATATTTTTCACATTCTTTTTTTTAACTAATATGTCTATGTTCAGTTCATGATTTTAATTCACTTTCAGAACTTAGTGAATTATCCCCATAAAATGGAAATAGACAGGAGTTCAAATTGTCAACAGAAAAGGAAAACTTAGCTTAGATAATACAGGAAGATGACACAGCATTAGAAGTTATAAGAACATACTCAGAAGACATTTATAGACTTGCAAATCCCATATTCTTGCAAAAATTTTCCTTGACTTGGCATTTTCAGTTTTACTCTGAAACTCTAAATACCTTTATAACAGGTAAACTAAGGGACTAAAGTAGGCTGTCATCTTAATTTCATTCACGCAAGATTTGAGGCTTTCCACTGCTATCTAGAACACACATTTAGTGGAAAACTTTAAGGAATGTTAAGGTGTTGGGAATATATGAAGTGAAGGTGAAGTACAATGACACTTGGCTGTTCACTAAGCAGTTTGGAGAAAGGAACCATTCATCAACCTTTACTCTTATTAGGGATAGGAGAAATCTTATCTCTGGAGACTGTTTGCCATATGAGTATGAAAACAAAAAGCTTTTATCCTTTGCTGAAGGTATGTCATGCGATTGTGCAGAAGAACACAAGCAGTAGAGACTGAGTATTTCTTATTGCTCACTGAAATATAGCTTACAGAATCATTTAGGCAACTTCCTCTGTCAATGTCATCAGACAATCCAGTTACAAAAATCCTTTAATTACAATTACAGAACATTATATCTATCAATAGAGGATCTAGAGATGATCTACAACTCAAAGGAACTTTGTTCTTGAGGTGTTGTTCAGGATACCCTTGCACATAATTTGTGAGGTGTGTGAACGATAAAGTGGCATAAATTAAAGCAAAAAGCACAGAAAAACAAAGAAAGAAGACAAGAGGCAGAGATTACAGTAAAGGGTTAAGGATGAATGAGTTAATTTGGAAGAGGATTCATTAACTATACTGAAGGAACTGAAGTTTTCAATACTAGAGAAATTCAAAAAAACTTTTGTCAGAAGGTAAAAATGTGGGATTATCAGATATCATAGGATTACTGAAAATTCTTATTTGAAAGGGCTTTCTGGAGGTCACTGTTCTAGTCTCCATCTCAATGCAGGGTCATCTTCAAAGTGATAAGGGGGCATAAGACACCTAAGAGGAAGGGAGCAATAAAGCAGGAGAAGCTCAGGGCAGAGTGTACCAGAGAGAGAAAACAGTTCTGTAGGCCTGTCATAGTTACTGGGGAAGGAAAATCAAACTTTTTAGTCCAATGTATGGCAAAAAAACATTAAATATTTCTGTTTCAGTACAGACAATTAGATCTCTTTGCCTCATCTTGAATGTGTCCTCTTGTATGCTTGTCCCTACTACCCAGTGTAGTCTTACTCTACTCTTAAATTTGCATTATCTTCACAGACATTTCATGGAGATTCAGAGAGTTTACCTTTATTTGTTCTGCAGCTGCTTTGCAGCACAAAGAATTCATAAATACCTTACCAGTTCAAAAGGGTTCTTAATGCACAAGTTATTATTAGTAACTTTCTGGAAGCAGATACTTCATGGGATCATTGACATTTGCAGGGAAATTTCCATACTGACAGCCCACCCACTACAAAATGCTAATAGGGAAAGTATTAACACCACTTACCAAAACAGCCTTAAAGTTTATCCTGTCTTTTTAAGGTGTACAATTCACCTACAATTGCCAAACTACTCTAATAACATTCTTTTAGTAGTACATTTTTGTTAATTAGACAAATTTCTTGCAGCATTTTAGTAGATTTTCAGTTTTAAGATAAGATTCGGTGCATATTTCAGGCCTGTGCATTATAAAACAGCCAGATCCATTCTGTGTCCTATTAGCATTATGCCTCAAGAGTAGAATTTTCAAAGTGAATGCTCACTGTTTTTAAGGGATAACTGAAGCAGAAACATTGCTCTGATTCACACATGTTAGGGACTTGCTTTCACAAGCTTAAGACTTTTCCCAGAATAAATAGTTCTTCTGCCAGAATACTAAATATCTGTGAAGTGAATCATTTTCATTATCAGCCCCTCCACCCACAAGTTCTCTGTAAACCTAAGTCTCCATCAACAGCCAGTCTGAAGTCTTGAATCTTCTCTTGCATTAATTTCTCTGGGCAAAATTTAAGCACCCTATTTAAGAAAAAAAAAAAAACAAAACCCCAGCTACTGCTGTCTGAGACTTCCTTTTCATATTCCATGGGCTTTACAAAAATTAGTTCTACCTGAATGACGTTCAGTATAATAGTCCTGACTTCAAAAGTCTGT